TTGACCTACAATGCAAAGGCTCTTCCAATGTACAGTTGTATAATCAACAAAGAATATTGTTAAGTGTCTTGCATTTGGGAAATTTAAGCAGGGAACCTTTCAAGAGACACTATTCAAGTGAGAAGGATGTGAAAATGAACTGTGATCTCACAGTAGGAATTTGGAAACTTCATTAACTGTTGCAAGCTACGAAGTTCAGATGCTTATTCTCTACAGCGTTCGTGGAAGGAGTTAATAGAGGACCTAAAATTATCTGATGTCCTTTACCAATTACCTTACAATAAGTTATGCATTTGAAAAAAGTTTAATAAAAAGCGTGCCTTCGGGGGATATTTAAACTACTGCTTTGGATGCCCACATGGCCTTGGCTAGTTCAAGTTCCAGTTACTCTGCTCTTGATGAGTAAGGGGAGCAAGGGGAGACGGTGGGTAACAGCCCAGGCTCTTGCATTTTGCCACCATTGTGAGACCTGGGTGGAGTTTCTGGCTTCTCATTAGCCAGATCCAAAGAGTTGCAGGGAGTTGCAGGCGTTTGATGAATGAACAAGCAGAGAGAGGATCTCCTTTCTCTCTTTTTCTCTTTCCCCTCTCTCCCTCTCTTACAAGCAAATGAAAATGAATAAATACACATTTTAAAAATGTCTTACAGCCCATTTCAATAAGAATATTTTTAAATTTACCTAGTTTGCCTTCCTATCCAGAACTAAACTTTATGATTGCACTTCATTATTCTAAGATCATCTCTGGTTTCCAAGTGAGCAGAATTTTAAAATGGTTTGTGATTTATATTAAGGTGAACTGTGTTATGATCAATGATCAGATTTTTTTTATTATTCCATTTAACCTTGAAAGTGTTCCAGGAAAATTGGATTTTAAATGTACTTGTAAGGATGAAAAGGAAATCCAGAACTATCTTACTGGTTTTAGTAGCTATTTTTAAAATCTTAATGATATGATTTTTTTTTCCTGATTGTTTTTGTAAAAGGACACAAATTGCAGGAAAGTGCTATTTGTCATAAATCCAATTTGAATTTCTGAACTATCTTATAATTATCAGTGGATTTCTTTTGATTAATCAATTGTAAACCTGAATTTGCTTAAGTAAATGTTTGTTGGTTCTAACAGTTAATGTTAGACCTCTTAGTGTTCACGTTAGTCAGTAAATTATCATCAGAAGACCTCACAGTGGCTTTTCTATGTTGTTTTTGATTTTTATGTCAAATTCACAATAAAGTAATTCATATAATATTTGGTTTTAATGTATATAGTGTTTTTTCAAAATTTTGTCTGGAGAATTATAATTCCTTATTTTTTTAAACTTGAAGATGTTGCATTTTAATGTTATTTTTATTGAATCGCATTTAAGTATTTCATGCTGAATTTTGAACATAACCAGGCCTATTTTAGACATTAAATGAATTTATGTTTACTTAAAGATATTTACACCGTATACAAATATTTTTATAAAGGATCTTGACTCGGGATCATTATAAAAGGTACAATCAATATGTAATGTGGTGTTTTATAAAGAAGCTCAAAATAAGACTTCAGTAAATTGGTTGTACCTTTGCCTATATATAATCAGGTTATCTGTTTTCTCCTTGATGAAGCTTTGATGTTTTCAGGATGTTGCTTTCCTGTTAACTAGTTTGTATTATGGAGGAATGCAAACAAATGCAATGAGTAATATATATATTTGGTCTCCTATTAAGATTTTTTATTTATTATTTTTAGTATTACTTTTAGTTTATATAAAAATAGATGTCGCATTTTCCTTGTTCAGATTTAGAAGCATAGGAGTACTAACCTCCTCCATCCCCCTCTGTCCTCCCTCTCATCTCTCCTTAAAGTTTTCCCCAAATTACTACAACAGCATATTCATTCATATTGAAATGCTTGCTTTTCCAATTTTTAAGGTATCAAGACTTAACAAGTACAGAAAGCAAGAGAAAATGATTACATATAATAAAAGTAAGCTAAGATGAAAATGGAAGTCCTACTCATGAGTGTAGACTGTTACTGTACAGTTAATTCCCAGTATGTGTATCTCTCTTTTTAAATTGTTGAATATAATCAATTATGTTGTGTCACACACGTTTTTCTTGATTTTTGCATTTGATGATTATTGACTTTTTGGATCTCTGGATTTGTATTTTCCAGTTTCTAAAGTATTCAGCTTTTATCTTTTCAAATTTCTTTTAAAGTATCACTTGTTTATTTAAGAGGGCTAGTTACAACAGAAAGGGAGTCAGAGAGATATTCTGTTGGCTGGTTCACTCCCGAGACGGCCACACCAGCCTGGGCTACGCTGGATAAAGCCAGGAGCCGGGAGCTCCATGCAGGTGTCATATGATTGCAAGGCAGGCACGGACCTGAGCCATTTTCTGCTGCTTTTCCCAAGTGCCTTGGCAGGGAGTTTGGTCTCAAGTGGAGCAGGCAAGGCTTGAATCACTGCCCATGAGAGATACTTGCATTGCATTTGGTGATTTAAATTCTTACCCTATTATGCCAGCACCTAGTTCTTCAAATATTTTGAATCCTCCTTCTTTATCTCCCTGTATGACCACTTGAATGGTCTTTCTCTCCCTCCCCCTCATTTATGTGTTGTGAATTAAGACATGTTCCCACTGTGCTGTGTCTCTTGTGTGCAGTACAGGCACTCCCCGCCTTGGACTCTGAGTGTGGCTTGCTCTTCAGTCTGGGGTAATTGATCACTTCTAAATCCAAGTGTGACAGGGCTCTTTAGATTCATGTAGCTCACTCTTCCCCAGTGATCAGGATGGTTCCCCTCAGACATCTTGTATCACCATCTTCTCACCTTTGATTATGTATTATTAGTACATGATTATGTACTAAGTCAGTTCTACCTCCCCAGACCCTGGTCTCAACAAGGAGCTAAACCATATAAAATCTCTTTTTATTGACTGGAGCACTTCGTTAATTAAATTCATCTTATTTGTTTCTTGTCTCTCATGCATTATCCATTGTGCCTAATGTCCAATGCTTTAAATGTCCTTGTTTCGGATAATTTTTCTCTTGTTTGTTAGACGTTTTCAGTGATAAAATAAATCTATCCTCCTGTTGCTTTATCTCAATCAAAAGAGGTATCTGCGTAAGTCTGTATACCTGTAATAAGGCTTACCTATAGATAGAAACATAAAGATTATATTTTTGAAAAGTATTTTAAAAAGTGAAGTACACAGACATGCAAATATGAGCATTTTCATTATTCAGTCTTCTAAAGTCTAAAGTCAAGTATTTTCACATATAACAAGTAGTTATATATGAAATAGTAATACAATCATTTTGTATTTAATTAAAATAGAAAACTTAAAATAGTAATTATTTGGACCCAGTAAATATTGCTCTGGAATGTTAGTTTAGGGAACATATCAGCACACATTTTTTTTTAAAAGATTTATTTTTATTATTTTTCTATTGGAAAGGGAGGAGAGACAGAGAGGAAGATCTTCCATCCGATGATTCACTCCCCAAGTGAGCTGCAACGGCCAATACTATGCCAATCCAAAACCAGGAGCCTCTTCCGGGTCTCCCATGCAGGTGCAGGGTCCCAAAGCTTTGGGCCATCCTCCACTGCTTTCCCGGGTCACAGGCAGGGAGCTGGAAGGGAAGCGGGGCCGCCGGGATTAGAACCGGTGCCCATATGGGATCCCAGGCGTACAAGGCGAGGACCTTAACCACTGTGCCACCATGCCGGGCCCTATCAGCACACATTTAAAAAAAATCATTTTCCATATCACACGCGCAGAGATGCACATGAGAAAGTTGTCAACATGTTCATGGAAATACACGTTATGAATCCATTCTGTTTTGATTTCTTCTATTTGTTTAATTGAAATTTTTATTGTTTTAATTGAAATAACATTTGATAATAAGATGCACCCATTTGTGTGTAGTTACTAAAACAATGATTATGGAAAGTTTATCTAAAGGGAAAAGTTTTGTTAAGCTACAATTTGAAATTAAGTATGTTTATATAAAATCTATATATACATAATTCACTGCTTTTCCAAGTATATTAGCAGGGAGCTGGATTAGATGGAAGTGGCTCAGACAGTTTGTAACAGTCATGAAAACCTTCCGTGTTGTAATTAACAAACAAAAAATCAGTGTGTTTACATGTTTGAGTGAATTTGTATTTTTAAAAGATTATGTATGTATGTATGTGTGTATGTATGTATGTATGTATGTATTCCATGATACAATTCCATAGGCTTCAGGATTTCTGTTCCCCATACCCCAGGTCCCCACCCTCCACCTCCCAAATAATGTCCCTCACGTCATTAAGATAGTATCATCCTTCACAATCAATGATAAGCCTATCATTCTGCTATTTAAGTGTAGACATGGACAATAGCAGAGAGTCCAGTATCCTATTTTCAAGATACATTCAACTGTTCCCTACACAAAAGACCCAAATGGCCACAATTACAGAGCTGAGCAGATCCAAAGCCAGGAGCCAGCAGTTTCCTGTGGGTGTATTCCATATGAGTGCAGGGGCCCAAGGGCTCAGCCATCCTATGCTGCATTCCCAGGACTTAGGCAGGAGAAGATCAAAGACTTATTTATGTATTATTGTTGTTAATAATATCCCAAACCTGATCATATTGCTGAACAACAAGCTCAGAGAAGAATGCTTATCTTCCCCACAAATTTGCAGACACATATAATTAGTGATGGATTATAATCAAACCTTAATCATAAAAAAGAACAAATTAGAAAACATCAGAGAAATTTTGTTTAAATTATCACTCTTATCTACTTGTGCCATCACGGTATCAATTTCTTATAATTATTCCACTCAGTATTCTTTGGGGGCATTTTATAATGTTGATTGTAAAATTTTTAAAAGTCTGTAACTAAGCTACAATAGTACAAAAGATGCTATTAAACAATACTTCAATTATGTTTGATGTCTTGTCATTTTTTATAGGTTACGGAGTGTGATTGAATCGATCATCTATTTGGGCGATCCTCATCATGAACCGTGCTTTTAGCAGAAAGAAAGGTAAATATTGTTGATGTGAAAGACATAGGAGCAAATTGATACTAGTGTGAAAATAAAGCAAGGTTACAAAGATATTGGTGCTTCTCATTAACAAATGACATGGCTTTGCCTGCAGTTATATGAGAGCAATACAAATCTGCAAACAATATTACTTATTCATCGTTGGTTTTCGCCCTAATAAAAACAAAACCAGAAACTACTCAGTTTGTAGTACCTATGTGGTAATATGTCAGCCGGGCATATTATAAAATTAAAAAGAATAAACTGATCCAAAACCTAGTTCTAACTTTGCATTATGCAGAGGCAAAATACTCTGATCTGATATTCTCTGACAGTGATGTAAGTGAATTAATGAGTATGTGAGTTGGTGTCAGTGCACGTTTGTTTTACCTATGGTGTTGTTCTACAATATGTGAGGATTGATGATGGTTGTATTGATAATGAGGACCAAAGTTGCTATTTCATTTTTAGCTAGGAATTTAAATTAATGCCTTAATTTATTATAGATTAAATTTAGGAAGCCAAAAATGTGAATTGGTACCTGTTTTGCCTTGTAATCTACACCAAACACCCTCTATTTTTAACATTTCAAGTATAATAAACTTGTCACAGTTAGTGAATAATATTCAGGATCCTCTATTTCGTAATTCAGTGTTTGGAGGGATCTGTTTTCCCCATTTGTTCCCACCTATGCGGACCAACAAGAGGTATCTGTTTTTCTATGTCTGAAATTTCAATAAACATGATGTACTTCAGTTCCAACCATTTGGTGTAAATGACAGTTTTCATTGTTTTTTTTTCCTATGGTTAAATAGCTTTGTTTGTATGAAATTACAACATGTTTCTTTTCCATTAATCTGATCATGGATACACTGGTGGATTCCATATCTTGGTGACTGTGTTTAGTGCTTCAGTAAACATGGTGGATCAGATAATCTTGATTCAATTATTCCATGTTTATTGGATTTCTAATTTATACAACACTTCTATTTCTACGTTTTAAAGAAATTTTCATACTGTTTCCCATGGTGTCTGAAATAATTTATCCTCAATAGTAGAATACACAAGTTTCTCTTTATCCATATCCTCTCCAGAATTTGTTACTGTATGTTATCTTGAAAACAGCCATCCTGACTGGGATGAGGTGGTATCTCATTATGGTTTAGATTTGTGTTTTCATGATGTCTATTAGTATTAAGCATTTTTTTCACAGATCTGATCACTACTTGTTTTTGTTCTTTTGATAACTATGTTCAAGCCCATTTCTCATTTGCAGTAGTATTGATTCTTTCTTGTTGATGTTAATTTTTTTCTTTAGTATATGTTGGAAATAAATCTTTTTCAGATACAGAGCTTCAACATATCCCATTCTGTTGGAGTTAACTATACTGATTTTTTTCCTTGTGCAAAAGCTTTTGCATTTGAGATAATCTCATTTTTTGGTTTTGTTTTCATTGCCTGCACTTTTGTGGCTTTATCCAAAAAATCCTTGCATACATTGATGCTTTAGTGTTTGTATTATGTGTTCCATCAACACACTATCTGTGATGAACAGAAATGGCAAACTTCTCAACAACATAAGGAAACTGCATCCCTGTATATGATGTCAGGTACAAACACAGACATGTGTATTTCCTCCTTTCCATATGTGGTGCCCCACCTTTTTTTTGTTTGTTTCTTTCTCCTTTGTAAGTACTCTCACTGTTACTTTCAATGCTGTATTGAATATTCATGGTGAAAATGGCCATTCTTGTTTTGTTAAAGTCCTTAGGGGAAATGTTTTCACTGTTTCCCATTCAATATTGTACTGGAATCTCAAAGACTCCAGTTCGTTTTCTAATGTATGGATAATGAACAGTGCAGGATCAGTTATGGACTGGAGTATTCTGTTTCATGTGGTCAGGTACAGTGTGTCCTCTCTCCAAAGGGTATAACAGGATATTGATAAACATTAAAATATTTAGTTGAGAAAAACTAGGACAAAATAAATTTTTTCAATGCAGGAAACATTGAGAATCTTATTTGGCAATGGAAGCTCCTTTCGTTGTTGAAGTGCAGCCATTGAACCTTGGGAATAAGTTTATAAAGGACAAATAGAAGTAAATTACCAGGTCATTGATTTAATATAGGGAACAAATGTTAAGAAAATAATTTAAAAATTGTAACAGAATTACTTAAATTATTAACTATTTTGCTATTCTAATGAGAGGTATTCAAACCCTGGATGTGGTATGGAAGATTAATATGTTTTAGGAGAAATTTAGGTAATGTCATCTTTAACAATAAGTATCCTAATTAAAGCGATAGCTGTTTGTAAGAAACAATAAAAGAATCAGTTACTTAGTTATCACACATATAAAATCTTAGTAAACAATTTCTGCCTCAAAAATACAAACAGAGGGTCAACTTAAAATTTACATGTCTTTTCTTTTGCTGAAAATCTGAAGTAGTAATATGGTTTTCAGTTGAATTAGCTGGATGCTTCATTGACTTTTTCCAAATATTCTAATTACATTAGAGTTGGTTAAGTATTCTGAAAAACACAAAGTATACTTAATTTTAGCTATGTTGGAAGGCTTTTAACAAGTCTGCTAAAATCATAGATTAATTTTTAAAATAGTTTTTTGAAGGTCAGTTACTGAAAAAGTGGGGGAGGCACAGAGAAGAATGCAACCACTGGTTCATTTCCCAGATGGCTACAATGGTTAGTGCTGGGCCGTGCTAAAACCAGGAGCCAGAAACTGGATGCTCTTCTGGGTCTGCCACATGAATGGTTGGGGCCTAAACTCTTTGGCCAGGATCTGTTGTTTTCCCCAGTAGAACAGTTAGGACATGAGTGGGGTCGTGCTCGCTTCGGCAGCACATACACTAAAAATAGGACATGAGTAGGGATCCATATGTGATGCTTGGGTTGTAGGCATCAGCTTTACACATTTCTAGATTCTTTTATATGCTTGTTTTCTGCTTGGTTGTTAAACATTTTTAAATATTAATGTGTGTGAGAGCGAGATAGCAGACAGAAAGAGAGAGACACACACGGAGGCGGGGAGAGAGAGAGGGGAAGAGAGGAAGAGAAAAAGGAGATCTTTTATCTGTTGGTCCACTCCTGAAATATCTATAATGGCTGGGAAGATTCCAAAACAAAGTCAATAGACAGGAGTTTCATCCAGGTCTCCCATGTAGGAGAGAATGAAGCAGTGGGCCAATCACTTGGGCCATCTTCTGCTTCTTTTTTGGACACATCAGCAGGGAGCTGGATAGGAAGTGTTGTAGTCAGACCTTGAACCAGGGATCATATGGGATGCTGATGGCCCAGGGAGCAGCTTAACTTCCTATACCACAGCACTACTCCATAATTTTTTAAATGCTGTATTCTATTTAGCTTGTCAAAACAAATCTTTTATTAAATTGTATAAGACATAGCATGTTAAAACACGATTTTATTGTAATTGTACATTTGTTTACTTATCAGTTTGCATTCCAATACAATGATTTAATCCTTTTATAAAGCATTTAAAATTTAATATGTAAATGTTATTTCTTTCAATGAACATTTTGTTCAGTTACGTATATTCATCTGATAGCATGTTGTAATGTACTCATAGCAGGTACTTTCACTAGGTTAAGCTCTGATGATGAGAAAATTTAGTGAAATTACTCCATCCTTTTGGATGAAAATTAATTTAAATGCATTTTGAGAACTTGAATTTGTTGTTAGAGCAGTCAGTGTGGTGTGACGGTTGTCAAGCATTTCCTTTCACGTGGGTGTTTAATGCTGGGATAGTGGTTTCAATTTAATTTCAAGTAGCAGTAATGCACTTGGGAATGTTCATATTCCCACGTCTTGAATTAGTTCCATTTATCTGATTGTTTCTGTACCATAGGTAGTTCCAAGGAACTTCTTCTGGATACCCTACTTAAGGTTCAACCACGTGACTTTACTTTAACAAATGAATAAAGTAAAAAATGTTGCTCTGTAATTCTTTTCCTTTTGTCAAATCTTAAACTATAGTGATAGTTAGGACTCATTAGGGAAACTCTTCATAAATAAACTACTTACATCGTGGTTGTGAAATGATCAATCACCAATACAAATGCATTTCTTAGTTTACAGTTAAAACTTTTAATTAAAAATTTTTTTTCTGCTAAAAAATAATCAGAGGAGACAACTAAACTTCTTTTTCAATGCATTACACTGGTCTCACAGAAAAAATAGTACCAACCAGGCATCTTTTGGGTTTGAGAAGCCCGAGACCTAACAGCCAGCAGGTTCTGGCAAGAGAAGAACCACTAACACTGCAATGATTTAAAATAGCTGGTGTTTCCTGGATCCTGGGAATTGCTGGAACCTGGAATGGGAGAAGGGATGTGCAGACAACAAGATCATAGGGGCATGAGAGTGGCGAGCCAGTACCTGGAACAATGGAGACCAAAGTGGAACCCTAGCACAGGGGCCCAGGACTGTAACTGACTGAACGGAGTGATACAAGTGACTGCAAATGAAGAACTGGGTACCTGACAATACAGCTTAGAAACTGAAAGGAATTTGCTAACCAGAATAGCAGTGACAAAGAGCAAGAGAAGAGACAGATGCACAATAAATATTATTGATGATTTCCCTGCAAAGGAGCAGAAACATTTCTCAACCTCAGGGTTAACTGAGAAAGACACTGAGAAAATGGGGTTTAAAGAATTTAAGAAACCTATTACAAAGCTTCTTAACCATAATGAGAAGCACACACAGGAGTCCAAGGAATCTAAGGAATATGCTATAGAGGAAATAATAGCAATGAATCAAATGAAAGGTGATTTATTAGAAATTAAGAACACAATGGAGCAAATTAAAAATTCAGTGGAAAGCCTCAAAAATAGGATGAGTGAGGCTGAAGAATCTCAGAATTGGAAGACATTTCCTTCAAAAGTGAGGAAACAAACAAAAAAAAAAAGCTGCAAGTAGAACTGAGAGGTAAGAAAAATATTACAGAACTAAGGGACACTATTAAAAGGCCAAGAATTATAGGAGTTCCAGAAGGCACAGAAAGAAAAGCTGGGTTTAAAAATGCATTCAGTGAAATAATAAATGAAACCTTTCCTAATATGGAAAAACCGTTGGGAAACAAAATACAGGAGGGGCACAAAAGTCCAAGTAAGGTTGGCCCAAAGTGTTCTTTTTCATGACACATGATAATCAAACCCTCTTCAGTTGTACACAAGGAAAAGACCCTTAAATATGCACATGAAAAATTTTATTAGCATATAGAGAAACGTCAGACTTACTGCTGACTCCTCAGAGGAAACTGCAGGTCAAAAGAGAATGGAGTGACATATTCCAGCTTCTACAAGATAAAATCTTCTGCTCAGAATAACTTACCCAGAAACACTTTCCTTTGTCTTCGAAAATGGAATTAAATTCTTCCACAGAAAAGAAAAGCTCAAGGAATTTGTCTCTTCCAAACCTTCCCTACAAATGATACTTAAAGATGTTGTCTTAACAGAAGGAACAGCACCTACCAAAACCAAAGGCAAATATGGAGAATGTCCCAATGAAACAGCGAAAGAAAACCAAATCAAACATCAAGTTACTACCTATGGATGTTAACCCTGAATGTAAGTGGCTTATATTCATCAATCAATTGCCATTGATGAGCAGACTGGACCAGAAAGCAAAACCTATCTTTCTGTGGCCTACAGGAGAAACATCTCACCAATAAAGATATGTGGAAACTGAAAGTGAAAGGATGGAGAAAGGTATCCCAGGCTAACGGAAAGAAAAAACTATCTTGCGTAGCCATTCTTATATCAGACATGGATAATAATAAAAGAGATAAAGAAGAATACAACACATTGATCAAAGGATCCATTCAGCAAGAAGAGATCAATTTTCTCATTTTTCATAAATTTTTTAATCTCTAATTTTACTTGGTTTTTCTCTCTTGTTTTTCTTTGTTAGTCTGGCTAAAGTTTGTTTTGCTTATCTTCTTAAAAAAATGTCTCTTTCTTGTTCCAATTTGTAGTCTTCTAGTTTTGATTTCACTTATTTTTGCTGTGATTTTTATCATTTCTTGCTTCCTATTCCTTTTTCTCTTTTACAAAGTCCTTGAAATATATTTTCAGATCATTTGAGATATTTGTATTTTTAAGCACCTGATGTTATAAATGTCCCACTCAATAATGTTTCTGCTATATCTTGTGGGTTTGATACTTTGTTTTTATTTTAATTTTTTCAATTTTCTCTTTATTAATTTGTTCAGTTACATATATGGCATACAGTAGCATCATTTTCTTCAACAAAGCTTTTGATTTTTCATTTCTTCAGCAACACATTGATCATTCAACAGCATGTTTTTAACTTCATGTTATACATTTTCTGTTTTTTTTTTCCTGTTGTTGATTTTGTTTTATGAGTTTTTATTTAAGGAGATGTATAGTAATTATGTAGTTCGAGAGTGTCATATCCAGATGCGAAATATAATGCAGTTTGCATCTCTACTTCCAAATCGAAGATGGACCCTCAATAAAACATTGAATATATCTTGATGATAGAATGCTGGAATCTCTGTCATTGTCCATGCCTACAGTGTCAGGATACGCTTAAATAGCAGAATGATGGACATATGACTGATTACGAAGGACTACCTTATAGTAATAAAACAGAGGAAACTAGTGGGAAGAGGAGAGTTGGGGAGGGGTGAGGAAAAACGCAGCTTATGGAACTGTATCATAAAATAGTAATAATAAAAGAATTGTGAAAAAAACACAAGCTTTTCCAGTATGAAATAGTGAAACATTATTGCATTAATGGTAACATATTTCTGGCTTAATAAAAATAAAGGATTTTCTTTAGTTGGACATGAAGCTTGTAATCTAGTAAGGTTTGACAGTTTTAAATATTTAATGTTAAATTAAATTAGGGATTACAAAAGTAAAGCTGGTAAACTCAATATTCTTTCATTTAATTTTTAAAAAAGAAAGTAAATCTGACTTGTTAGGTGCAAAAAATGGCATGTATCTAAGATTATATCTATGCAAAACTCATGATAGTAGGCTTTTGTTTAGTGTTTATATTGAGAATCATGATAATCTCAGCACTATAGTGATATCTAAATAAACATAGTAACCTTATAACAGTGCATTTCTTAGTTTAATGTTAAACTGTTCATTTAGAAATTTTTTTCCTAAAAATTAATCACAATGAGGATAGAGCAGATTATTTTCTATTGTCCTGCAGGTTAAGAACTATACCTTGTAATGAAAGCATAAAATAAAAGAACAAAGGTGATTATTTTAGTAGCATAATTTATGTAATTCTTTGTGGTCTATTCATGTTGTTATTTTGTGAATTTTGTCAAAATAGCACAGCATTAGTATGCTTTGCAAAATAAAAAACGGTGTTTTACAGGGAAAATCCTATAATCACTCCCCTTTACTGCCTCATTCATACATTTTGTAATTCATTTTCAGTTTAGGTATACAGTCTCAAAATGATAAATGTTGGCACCCATGTGAAAGCAGTATAGATGCTAATACGTAAACATGACACCATGGGAACCTGCGATTTAATTCAATGCCTTGTGTTTTTCATTGCAGACAAAACATGGATGCATACTCCCGAAGCTTTATCAAAGCATTACATTCCCTACAATGCGAAGGTAAAAATAGCACCTATGGTGTCTTCATCTTATTTTATTTTTTATTTCTGGTCGGTCTCACATGGATTGTTTATGCATCGACATTGAAAATTACAGAAATGGCTTTGCAGTGTCTAGGAAGGGAATTTGTTTCTCTATTAAAGTAAATTAGTTTTTTTTTCAAAAAAGGAAATTTTGGAATTTTACATGAGTGATATCATTTGCAAACAGGTTGTTTTCCTTTTCTTTCACATTTTCTTCTTTGATTGGGATTATTGTTATTTGTTGTGGCATGAGCTGTAGGAAATCAAGCCACTGACAAATTAGCTTCCTTGAAAAACATTTTAAATTTGTATTATACCGTCTGATCATAAATCTATGCTGGATATGAAAAAAGTGAGAAAAATTGTTAATGGATAAATCTTACAGGAACACAAAAAAGGTATTAAAGAAATAAAATGTGCAGTGTTTCACCTGTTTCATACGTTATTAAGTTCTAGAATTTTTAAAATTATTAAACTAAAACTTCATAGGTAGTATTTCATAGGTAGAATGCTAATTATATAGTGATATTTCCCTCCCTCTTTCGCTGGTAAAGCAGTAGAAATAGTATTTATTTCACATCTTTAATGATTTAATTTTTTTATTTTTAGAAAACTAGAGAAACAGATGAATTTCATGTATGAAAGGAATTTCTTGAAAATTTTCTTTTGCATTGAGTTGTTACCAAAGCTGAAGTGTTTTTTTTTTTTTCTTTGAGAACTCTGTGCTTTCCTTAGAGAAGTGGAAAAATCTGTTAAAAAAATTGAGATTGTGACTGTGAGCCAAATGTAGACATCTGAAATTTAGGACAAAATGTGGAAAACTCAATATCTATATATTGTTGTTATATATAGTTATATATGTACATACACATGTATGTATGAATGCATGGGGTATATATATACTTAAAACAACATAGTCTCTCCCTCTCTCTCTCTATATATATGTATATAAATACAAAACATATTAATAAACTATACCTTGGGATTATTTCAGGAAAAATTTTAAAAATATTGCATACACCAGTCAGAGGTGTTTAACTAGGACGCCTCTGCAGTGCTGGTCTGTGTCTGAATCAGCAGGAAGAAGCATCTAGAAGCTCTTCTAGAGTTACTGCTCAGCAGCAAGATTTTTTAGAGTACAGCAGCTATATCTTTTCTTCCTGACTTTGCATGAAGAAAATGATTTGAAATGCTTTCTGTGTTAAACCAGCATTCTCGAAATCCCCACAGTGCTAACAGATTTCCTTTGAAGTCAACATGAATGCCATTATGTAGAGTGAAGCGATAATTTACTGTCACTTCCCCAATCTTCCTATTAACAACTATATAAAATCGGTATAGTAGAATTATTAATCTAGAAACCTGCCATTTTTAAAGTGTGCTCAGTTTATATACTATCAATTACAATAGAATTATGTATTTTTTAACCATTATTTTTATTGGAAAGGCAGATATACAGAGGAGAGACAGAGGAAGATCCTCCGTCTGATGGTTCACTCCCCAAGTGGCCGCAACGGCTGGAGCTGAGCCAATCTGAAGCCAGGAGCCAGGAGCCAGGAGCTTCTTCCAGGTCTCCCATGCAGGTGCAGGGTCCCAAGTCCTTGGGCCGCCCTCGACTGCTTTCCCAGGCAACAGGCAGGGGGCTGAATGGGAAGTGGGGCTGCCGGGATTAGAACCGGCGCCCATGTGGGATCCTGACGCTTTAAAGGCAAGAACTTTAACCACTGTGCTATTGCACCAGGCCCGAATTATATTTTTTAATGAAATAGTTTTAAGTAATACTCATGTTAATGTGATATTGATGCTGAGAAAAGAGATACAATGCCGTTGATAGGTACATTAGTAAGAGGGCTATCATTGCTTCTGTAATGTTTTAATTCCTTCCTTCCTGTATTGCCTCCTTAGCCTTCTTTTCTTCCCTTCCTTCTTTCCAATCTTCCTTCCTTACTCAATTCCTCCAGTACACCTTTGAATATGTAGAATGTTTTAGTGGTATTAATTATTCTAATCCATGAACAAGGGATAGCTTTCCATTTTTTGATGTGTCTTTGATGATTACATTCATTGATCTTTGATCATTTTCCTTGTTGAGATCTTTCACTTATTTGGTTAAATTTGTTCCTAAATATTTCATTGTTTGATGATTATTGTGAGTGGGATCTCTTCCTTAATTTCTTTTTCAGAATGATCATCTTCTGTAATCTGTGTCTTTACTGAATTGGTTTATCAGTTCTAACTCCTGTTTGGTGGAATGTTTAGGTCTTTCCTAAGCATGTTTAATATGATATCATCTGCAAACATGGCTATTTTGACCTCTTGCTTTCTGATTTTGATGCTCTTTATTTGTCCCTTATTAATTGCACTCACTAATCAAATACTATATTGAATGCAAGTGGTGAAGGTGGACAACCTTGTCTTGTTTCTGATCTGAGGGGAAATGCTGTCAGATTTTCCCCATTCAGTATATTAGCTACTGGTTTGTCAATACAGCCTTTATAATTTTTAGGTATGCCCCTTCTATGCCTGTTTTGTTGAATGTTTTATTCATAAAGGATGTTAAATCTTTTTTTAAAGATTTTTTTTTTTGAAAGTCAGATTTACAGAGAGCAAAGACAGAGATAAAAATCTTCTCTGTTGGTTCACTCCACAAGTGGCTGCAATGGCTGGAGCAGAGTTTGTCTCATGCCAGGAGCCAGTAGCTTCTTCCAGATTTCCCACGTGGGTGCAGGGTCCCAAGGCTTTGGGCCATTCTCTGTTGTTTTCCCAGCCCACAAGCAGGGTGCTAAAAGGGAAGTGGAGAAGCTGGAACATAAACAGGTACCCATATTGGATTCTGGTGCATGCAAAGCAAGGATTTAACCAATGAGGCTATCATGCTGGGTCGGAGATGCTGAATCTTATCAGATGCTTCCTCTACATGTATTGAGATGTCCATATGCTTTTTCTTCATCTTGTTGATGTATTTGGTAACATTTACTGACTTGTTGATCCTCCTTTGCATCTCTAGAAGGAACCTCTTTGATGTTGATGTTTGGTGTTTTGATGTATTCTTGGTTTTGGTGTATATTATTTTGTTGAGTAAAAAAAATATCAGTTGCATCCATTTTAATAATTTTTCAATAGCTTGAAAAGCATCTTAATTATTTTAAAAAATTTTATAGAATTCAGTTGCAAAGTTGCTTAATTATCACAAAAAGACTAAGAGCCAATTTTTTTTTAAAAAAACTGAAGTGTGTCTGATTTCAAAAGATTGTTTCTAGTTATTGATAGCTTAGTACTCGTCAGTTCATTCATTGCTATATTAAATAACTGCCATGTGTAAGATACCATTGCTGATGTTTTAATGAATGTTACTAACGTTTCAGAGCTTTACAGCGTAGGCTTCATATGCTTGTAGAGCTCATCATCATAGGGAAAAATCACACATGAATAATTACCTTGATAGGGGTTGTGTTGTTTGCAATTCACAAACACAAAAATATAGAGAGACTCTTGATCAATGCAGGAGGTGAAGTTGGATCTCCAAAAGTTAAAGCAAGGAAACAGAGACTGTTTCTATAGGAGCAGTCTAGGAGTATCAGGACATAAAGAAGCACTAAACATTGTTAGGAAATTGTTGGGGTGACATGTGGAGATCAAGAAAATTCCCTATTTTTAGCTTGGCTAATATGCAAAATGTTTGTATCATAAAAAAATCCTTATCTCTTACTTTTGGCATCTCCTGCATATAAATTATGGAGATAAATTTAGCAGAACTGTTTAGGAATTAGCAGTCTCATGGGGAAAGCACATAATAACATTTATGTTGAGATGTCTTCAGTTTAAAACAGTAGCTTTTTGCCTTAATAACTCTTCAAAATTTCTTTTTTAGAATCATTTTTGTTTCTACATTCTTTCATTTCTTGACCACTGATTTCAAAATTTATGCCTAATATTTTCAGTGTGAGCATTGCAGATCTATTTGGGTGTAAATGACCGGTAGTTTTAAATAAGAATCTTCTATTTAAGATTCATATGGTCTTTTGTTGTTGTTGTTTGTGCAATGCTAGTATTACTGTTAGTCCATCGACAGGCTTTCATGTTATCCTGTGTAGACTTAGGGATGTTTCCAAACTGTAGATTATAGTGGTGGGAAAAAATGGAATTATGAGATATAAATAGGGCTCAAGAAATGAAATTGTTTAAATACAAGTGAAAAAGTGTAAAAAAATTTCAGAATGCATTTGGGGAACATCAGTTTGTTCCAAAAAATTGTGGCTCAGTTGTAAGACTTTGAAAGCTCCAGTCTTTAAATGGAAACCTTCCTTTAAACAGCAACAAAGCCTTTTCCAGATTTAACTAGTTTAAATCATAAAATAAAGGGTGAAGAGACTCCTTGAAAAGAAGAATAGAATAGAAAAGAAGAATAACATCTAGGTTTAGCCATATGACCTCATTGAATATAATATCTTGAAAGGTTGTCAAAACATTCATATAAATATGTTTGAAATAACAGAAATGTAGTAACAAGTAACTATAGCTTTATTCATTTATTTATGAACTGTATTTGTTCATTTCACCTGAGATGTTATTTTATGAGTATACTCACCTAGGCAGGAAGAATTTATTAGGAAATCAGAAAAGATTTCCTAACATGCCTTCTGGAAGCATATTCAATAAGGCAAATTTTTTTGAAAATTATTAATAAGAAAATAATTGGCACATTTTTATTAAGACAAGGTGAAATAGTTTCATTTTCATAGCACACACTATATAACAGTGATATTATTATATAGGCTGTAATATCAAGCCAGTATTTATGTATGAATATGATATTCCAAATTATATCACAAATAACTTCTGTGGAGAAAAATTAAAGAATGTTTCAGGATATGACAATGAGATAAGTGAAACAGAGAACATTGTTTTATATAAAGCTTCAGAGAAGGCCTCAGGAGAGAGCAGAGGCCTTACTTAGGAATGAGACATCTGTGTATG